TGGTCACGTGATCCACGTTTTTAGTTGTTTGTGGACGGAGATAAATTCTAATACGCAGGTAAACACTAGTGTGGACGGAGATCGTTTTCGTTTTAATTCTCCGTTTTTAAACGAAAACGCAGTAGTGTGGACGGGCCTCAGAGGATTTTATCATTCCAAAGAAAGGGCAAATTTAAAATATAGTGGGTTTTGAATTCAGTTCAAGAGTTTACAGAAATAGAAAAACAGACTGAAAAGAAGTGATTTTATCATCCAATAACGGAATCTTCAAAATGTAAAGAAACGTGCATGTGAAATAATCGAGATTTACACTGTAAAAAATATTTTCAAGATTTGTTTCACAACATTTTTTCTTTTGTCAAATCAACTTAAATAATTTATTTAGTTCCGATAAAGATTAAATCAATCTCCATTGTATTACTCACTTTTTTCATTTCAATCAACTTAAAATTAAGGCAACTACATTACTTATTTTTTTAAGTTAAACCAACAATATTTTTTTTTACAGTGTAGTAACCAACAATGGATGATATTCACAGAAAAGAGGTTCTAAGTATCTTGTACTCAGCAAGGCTGCATTTGATTAAAAAAAATACAGTAAAAAAACAGTTATAGTGAAATATAGTTAACAATTTAAAATTACCGTTTTCTATTTTATACTTCAAAATGTGACGGCAAAGCTGAATGTTCATTAAGAAATCATACTAATTTGTAGGGTTGCCCCCAACTGAAGATTTTCCTAGTTGACTGTTAATTGTACATTGTAGCCATTAGTCGATTATTAGTAAATTTATTTTTATTCTCAATGCTGAAAACACTTGAAAAAGCTGAAAATAATCTATTAGTTTAACTTTTGAAACATTCCAAAAGGTCTTTACGGACACATGATCTATTTTATGCATTATTTAAATACAAAATGAATACAATTCATGGCAAAAGAAAAAAAACCATATAATGAAAAATAGCATTGCCGTAGATTGTGGGGGAGACAAAGAGTGTCAAACTTAGTGAGTCAGAGTAGAAACCCCTGATGAGGTTCTTTTGAAGACAGGAAAATAAGATTATCTTTTAAACTTAAGTTAGTTGAATATGAGAGGGGCAACTATCTTATTAGGCCAATCCAGCTGTCATTTCACAGCACTGATGTTTATGAACAACAAAAGGAGGATATTAAAAGATTATAGACCGGAGATGTCTGACTTAGAACGCCACCCATCATGCTTTGGGTGGAGGCCTCTTTCTGTCCCATAAGTCTGTGTGGGAGAGATGACAGAGGGCTTGATAGTTGGGACACCTGTGTTTTGTTACTGTGCAAAACCAAAAGGTGGAACAAAACAAAACACACAATCACAAAACTGCTGCTATGACAACTATCCTGATCCGGAGGGACACTTTGTTTGAAAGTTAAACTGGCAGAAACGTGTGCGCTCCCACTCAGACACCGACAGCCACAAACACAATGGTGTCCGCTTGCAACGTTTTTGCTTCCTTTTTTTCTCCCTCTCATAGAAAAAAAATAAGACATCCAAATACACAAACACACCCAACAACAAAACTGCTGTATAAGATGCAGTTAATGCGACTATCTCAGCACCTCAGCTGCTAATGTTAGACAAAATATCATGATAACAGTGTATCACGCTCTTATTGAATCAGTATTGACCTTCAATATTGCATCCTGGTTTAATTTTGTTTCTGCTAAAAATAAGAAAAGTATTATCCAGAGTAATTATCAACTAGTAGACCTCTATAATTGTGCACTAAAGAGGAAAGAAGAATAAATGGTTTTAGTTTTGAAAATTAAGAAATCAAGATGCCACAATTGCAGTATCTAGGTCTTTTAGTCCAAATTCACAAAAACCAAAACGGTGCGATTTCATCCAGACTAAAGCATTTACATGACAATGACTGCTTTAGTCCGACTGAAATCGAACTTAAGTGCACATAAACGAAACATCGGAGAAAGTGGTTTCTTCTAAACTCCAAGAAACAGTCCACCCAGTATTCATTTTCCTGAATGTAAATTAGACTCATCCAAGACAAACTCTTTATTTAGAGTTCATTAACCAAAATAATTATAAAGATGACAGAGTGAACAACAGAGAAACATTTCAAATTCCCTAAACACCCAATTATTTCAGAGATTTTTCTTCCTTTCATTTCAAGCTTAGGCTTTGCAGGAAGTCTCCATGGTCTGATTTACACCAATAGTGCGGTACCACTCATAACCAGACGAGATGGGCCAAAGAATCGGTTCTCTCCACCGATATAACCATTAAGCTAACAGAAATCCATTCATTTAAGTTTTTATGAATGTAAAAGCAAGTTAACTGTTTGAGATCTGTCTGGCATGTGGGACTGTTTGAGTCCAACAAAACCATCTGAACTTACCCTAACTGGAGTGCTCTTGGCCTGGACCCTCTGTGCCCCTGTGGGACCTGGATCCCTCTGGCCAACTCCGGCACCCTGTGCTCTGACCCCCGCCGCTGCTGATCCATTAGTACACGTGCCATGCATGCTTCCCGTCCTCCTCGGCCTCTGCTTGATGCCGTCCAGTAGCCGTACCAGGAGGATGTTGCTAGGCAACTCATCCACGCCACTCTCCACTAGCGTGCGGCATTCCGGGCAGCGCAGTTCCCCACGCGACCCCACAATTCCAAGCAGGCATCGCCGACAAAACGTATGCTGGCACGGCAAAACCTTTGCCGTGGCATCCAGTCGCTCCAAGCAGACCGGACACTCTAACAGGTCCAGGAGCGCAGACTCATCCATTTTCACACTCACACAATCTTTCTCAGTGTAGTCGTTCATTCAGTCAGTTTTGTCTCTCCGAAGAGAGAAGCACATGGTGTGGGAGTGTGGATATAAGGTTGTTTGGAGGGAAAGGCCAATCCTGCTGTCACGTCACTCCCATGCCGCAGTCATGATCATATCTCTAGCATTCACTGCAGAGAAATAAAGAAAAAGATATCATGTAACACTTATAGAGCATTACATGCAATATATTTGGTGAATTCAATAGCAGGCGCATGGGAAAGCAATGTAATGAAGATGTTTAAGGGGAGTGTAATAAGAAACCTAATTTCTAAAATTTAGTATGATCAAAAACGTCCATTAAATGGACAACAAACTTGACACAAACAGCACTGGAACAGTATGAATTGGAGTAGAAAATAAGCTTGAAACTTTTTTCAAGTGGCAAAAGTGCAATACAATAACTGTCAATAACTAATAAAAATACCAAAGACAAAAACAGCTAAACATATTTACAGGCATAAAACTGGTTAGATATTTGATTATTTTTTGTAAAATACACTCTCTCAGAAAAAAGGTACGAAAGCTGTCACTGGGGCTGTACCTTTTCAAATGATGATTTATTTTTTCCATTTAAGGTGCTGATATGTACATTTTAGGTATTAATATGTACATTTCAGGTGCTAATGTTCATTTTAGGTGTGAATATGTACATTTTAGGTGCTAATATGTACATTTCAGGTACTAATATGTACTTTTAAGGTGCTAATATGTACATTTGAGGTGTTAATATGTACATTTTAGGTACTAATATGTACATTTTAGGTGCTGATATGTACATTTTAAGTGTTGATATGTAAATTTTAGGTGCTAAAATGTACCATTAAGGTACCAATATGCACCCTTTAGGTACAAAAGTGTACCTTTTGAAAAGGTACAGCCCCAGTGACAGCTTTTGTACCATTTTTCTAAGAGTGTACCACTGATTAGTACAAAACTCAAAATGTATATATTTAACTATACACGTTGTCATATAAACAACCAGTCGGCAACTAAACTAGTTAATGTCACACTAATCACAACATAACACAACGAAGGTTCTAACCGAATCGTACACTAAAATGAATCAATTCATAAGAGTCACTCAGTCAGTCGGCAATCGGACCACACTTGAAGCCGTGTGTTTTTTGATTCACTAAAAGGAACCGGTGCATAAGAATCATTCGCTCGGGAAATGGACTACACAGGACACGCTGTAAGCTTCGCGCTGCAGATGCAGATAACAATAGGTTACTGTCGTAACCCCGGTTCTCTGAAACATCGAGTGGAGAGATCCACCTATGGGAAGGGCATCCGTACCTGACCTCTGCAGAAGCATCCAATTGCACCAAGTCTGGCTAGACAGACAGAAGCGCGCGGCCAGTGCCCGATGAGGCCACACCCCTCACCCACGGGCATATAACATCTGGGCGCGCTGCTATTCCTCAGTAAGTATATTCGCTTCTCGTGCGGCAAGCGGGGCAAAGCTGGTGGATCTCTCCACTCGATGTTTCAGAGAACCGGGGTTACGACAGTAACCTATTGTTCTCTTTCATCATCTCGTGTTCGAGATCCACCTATGGGAGAGACATGGACAGCTCCCCGATTGCCCAATACACTCACAGTGAGGTTCTGAAGCCAGAGAAGGACGGTCACCTCGGGGAGGCGGTGCCTGACACGTCCCTTAATCATGAGCCTGCGAAGGTGAAACCACACCTAACTAATGTGGACAAGCAGGACATGAAATACGCATGGGACACATGCGAGATAGTAACCCCAACCCACCAAGACATAATCTATACCCGAAAGGGGAAGAAATGATAGGTGACAGGAATGAACATGGCCAGTCAGCCCATTCACCCTTAATGGTATATCCCAACAGGGTTACAGCAGGGAGGGGCTAAGACGACCCGACCCCTAGAACCGAATGTGCTACCGAGGTACTGGTGACATCCAGCCGGTAGTAGCGCACGAAGGTATGAGGAGAAGCCCAACTGGCAGCGGAGCAGATGTCCTGCAGTGACACTCCCCTAAACAGAGCCCAAGAGGTGGCTAAACCTCTTGTGGAATGAGCTCTGATGCCCCTAGGGGGCTGCACTCCCTTGCTTTGTAAGCCATGGTAATAGCATCCACAACCCAATGTGAGAGGCGTTGCTTCGAAATTGGACTCCCTAAGTGAGGGGGAGCCCATGAAAAAAAAGAGCTGGTCGCTCTTCCGGAAAGTATTCGTCCTCGTCATATATGCCTGTAAGGCACGGACAGGACACAGAGCGTTCAGCCTCTGATCCTCTAGAGAGGTAAAAGGTGGAGGGTGAAAAGCGGACAGCTCCAACACCTCCGAAGTGAACGCAGGGAAGCACTTCGGCATGAAGGCCGGGTTAGGCTTAAGGAAGACCTTATCTCCACTAAGAGAGAACTTAGAGCACGAGGGATGAACCGAGAGTGCATGTAGCTCACTGACACGTTTAGCAGATGCCAAGGCCAAAAGCAAAGCTGTCTTGAGAGACAGCAGCTTAAGGGATATACTTTCCAAAGGCTCAAAAGGGGTGTTGAGACAGAGCTTCCAGCACCATGGAGAGGTCCCACTCCGGGACAGTTCTCCTGACGACTGGCAAAGAGCGGCGTGCACCCTTCATAAATCTGCGGATTAGAGGGTGCTGACCGACGGTCGAGCCCTCAAAACCCACATGACAGGCTGAAATAGCAGCCAAGTGGACCTTAATGGTGGAAAAGGACCTGCCTTTATCCATGAGGTCTTGAAGGAAACACAAAATATCAGGAACTGAACACTGATAAGATGTGATACCGCGCCCATCACACCACCCCTCGAACACTTGCCACTTACAGCCATATAAGGGCCGTGTAGAGACGGCCCTAGCATTCTGAATAGTGGTAACCACACGCGGCGAAAGCCCAAGTGCGTTCAGGTTCGTCCTCTCACGGGCCAGGCCCAGAGAGCCAACCTGTCCGGGTGGGGGTGGTAAATCTCACCGTTGGCTTGGGATAATAGATCCGTGCGAACGGGAAGGCACAATGGCTCGGCGTATAACAGAGGGATTATCTCCGCCAGCCACGGTGCTTTGGGCCATCTGGGTGCTATCAGAATGAGAGACAGGCCCTGCTCTCTCGCATACAGGAGCACTCTCGGCCATGGGTGGGCCAGTGCGTCTACCCCGAGGGGCGCGTCCATGTCCCTTAGAGAGAAGAACATAGGACAATGGCAGTTTACGCGCGAGGCGAATAGATCTACGCTCGCCCGTCCGAATCTCATCCATAGCATTTCCACTATCTGCGGATGAAGACGCCAATCCCGTAGATTGGGTTTCCCCTTGACAGCAGATATGCGCCGACGTTCAGAATGCCTGGGACGTGAGTCGCGCGTAGCGACAAGAAAACCCGTCTGCTCCACACCAAGAGCTTGTGAGCTAGGTGGTGAAGTTTCGACGAGCGCAAGCTGTCCTGACGGTTGATATATGCCACAGCCGTGGTATTGTCGCACCGTACCAGCACATGATGTCCCTGCAGGCGAGGCAGAAAATGATTCAGAGCTTTCCAATTGGTAAAAAGCTCTAAATAATTTATATGTGCTGAACGTAGTCTGTTTGGCCACAGACCGTTCACCGTTTTGCCCTCCTGGGTGGCACCCCAGCCTGTTAAGGATGCATCTGTCGTCACCACTTTCCGCATCGTAACCGCCCCGAGAGGGGTTCCCCGTGCGTAAAAGTCTGCGTTCTTCCAATGGCGCAGGGCTGCAGTGCACGCGCGCGCGTCACTGTAACCGAGCGGCAAAGGTCGCGAATCGGGCTGAAATGTAGCGACAAAACCCATTTCATAAACGCCCTCATCTTAAGGAGTCCTAATGGCACAACTTGGGTGGATGAAGCCATGAGACCCTGCATCCTGAGACATGTGCGATATTGCACTTTCGCCCCTTCTCTGAACTGTGACAGACAGCTCATAGAGAGCGAACGCGCTCTAGAGAGAGACGCGCTCGCATGGCAACCGAGTTCAACTCCAAACCCAGGAAATTGACATTCTGACTGGGCGTGAGATAGCTCTTGCCCACCGAGCACACGGCCGGTGTCCTGCAACACCTTCTCCTTCGATTCGGCTATGATGAGCCAATCGTCTATGTAAGTAGGATTCTCAGACCTGTTATTCTCAGAGGCGTTAAGCCCGCCTCCGCGCACAGACAGAAAGACCGGGGACTCAAACTGAGTCCAAACGGAAGAACTGTGAATTCGCAACATATGCCCTGGTAGGCAAAACGAAGAAAATTCCTGTGCGGGGGATAAATGCTTATGTGAAAGAAAGCATCTTTCAGATCGACTGATGTGAACCAGTCGTTCTGTTTTATGGCATGGGCGAGTGCGCCCTGTGTCAGCATTCTGAAGGTGTATTTCCTCAAATGTTTGTTCAACACTCGAAGGTCCAAGATAGGGCGGAGAGAGCCGCCTTTCTTGGAACCAGAAAATACCGGGAATAAAAACCCTGGTTCATCAGATTGGGGGGGGCCACCTGAATCGCTCCCTTGTTTAAGAGAGATGAATTTTCCTCTTCCAGAATGTGAGAAGCTTTCTCTTCCGTGTGAGAAAAGAGAATGCCGTTGAAATGAGAGGGTTTTACTGCGAATTGCAATCTGTAACCCTGCATTATTGTACGCATAACCCACTCGGGAGCCGAAACGGTTCGCCAAGCCGCTTCGTGACTCGCGAGTGTCCCCGCTCGGGACAGAGCAGAGCTGTGTCTTGAGACCAACAGCATTATTTGTGATGCAATGGCGCCATCTCGTGGGCACACTAGAGGCGACATGCGGGGGTTCGGAGGGGTTTCCTCTCTCTGCAGTGAGAAAGGTTCTCTCTGCGGAAAGAGGTTTTCCCTCCGAAACGAATTTGTTAGATTCGTTATTATTTGTGTTTTGTGTTGGGCAAACACTGCGTGAACTGGGCAAACATAGTGTGGTGTACACTGTGCTAAACTTTACCCACAAGGAGCCCCCTGAAATTGGGGGGAAAACACACATCTCCTGAACACATGAACTGGGCAGTCTCAAGTGCAGGCAGAAAATACTATCCATTTTTAAGGATATAGAAGAATAGTTTGTTTAAACGTGTATTTAGTTATGTGTTGGGAAACACAATGACCAAGCCTTCCACACACAACGTGAACTAGAAACACATGGCTTGCAGCCGCAACTGAGCTGTGCGAGCCCAGCTGGTTGATTTGTGAGGCAATGGCGCCATCTTGAGGGTGGACTCGGGGCGAGATGCAAGGGATCAGAGAGATTTGATCTCTATGTTGACACAGATATAAAAATCTGCACGAATTCATTAGATTCGTTTAATAATAGTTTGTGTTTTGTGTTGGGAAACACTGGGGCAAGCCTTTAATAACTGTTTTTGGTGAGGGAACCAAGTGTGTGCGGTGTGGTAACACTGCTTATGTACTTTCCCTCACAACAGCCCCCCTGTGGCTTGGTAGCCACGAGACGGGATTACCCGACCGTCCGAGGGAGACCCCGTGTCTTTCGGACAAGGGTTCCGGGACCGGGAGAATACGGAGGGCTCGTGGCCCGTGAACGCGGGCTGGAGGCTCCCATGGTGGAACAGCAGGCGGGCTGCTAGCGTTCAGGGCCGCCTTCCTACTCATCAAGGCCCGTGAGACAGTGTTAACAGTCTAGCGGGAGGCTCTAGGCGCGCTTGAGAGCTTCGCGAACACTGGAAAAAACGTTGAAGAGTTGTTTCCTCAGGCTGGGCGGTGGTACCCGCGTTTACCCGTCGTAAATATTCCTATCCTGGTCGGTGGCGCTCTATGGAGCTGGCCACACAATGTTGAGACGAACGGCCGCTCGCTCACAAACTTCCAGGAGGATCGACTGAGGCAAAACCGCGTGAGCGCTAGCTTAGGGTAACGTTAGAAAGACCGCGTCATCCTCGTCGCCGGAACCGACCGGTTCGTCAACGAGAGTGAGGTTTTCCCGCGAAGATGTCCTCTTCAGGGAATGCGGATTGGGCTGAATACCGCTCAAATATTTTATCTGTGGCGCTCCGGGAGTCCCCCGGTAGCGCGTCATCATCACCGTGTCCCCCATCCGAGTAAGAAATGCCAAGCACGGTGCGCTGGATAGTGCAACTAAAGCCGGCTTTGTAAAAGGCTACATGGGCAGCAATTACAATGACCGCAATTCTCCGGGTTCTCCAAAGCTTCTTGAGCGTGCTAAGCCCAAGCGGACCGCGCAGAACGAGAGGGTCCTTAGCGGCGATGAGAGCACCACACGCGGCCGGGCAGGCTCGTCGTGATGGACTGTTCCCCAGGGGAAGCGGCTGTTAAGACGGTCACATAGCCATGGGTGGGCCAGCGGTGAAGAACTCGGAAAATACGTGGCGGGCAGCCATGTAAGGAGGAGCAGGTGAAGGACAGTGAGAGCTCGGCGGCTCCGGATGCAAAAAACACAGCGGATAGGCTGAAGAAAAACGACTGTCACTCACGTCTGGCGGAGGCTGATCTGGCGATATGTCCTCCTGTAGACTCGAAAGTGGACAGCGTAACGTTAATCCAACCGAACTGTGTCAGTGCAGAGGTCGCGAGAAGCGAATGTCAACTGAGGAATAGCAGCGCGCCCAGATGTTATATGCCCGTGGGTGAGGGGTGTGGCCTCATCGGGCACTGGCCGCGCGCTTCTGTCTGTCTAGCCAGACTTGGTGCAATTGGATGCTTCTGCAGAGGTCAGGTACGGATGCCCTTCCCATAGGTGGATCTCGAACACGAGATGATGAAAGAGAACAACACACCAGTAATTAAACACTGAAGGAGCGTCCCAATTCGCGTACTTTCGCACTATTCTGTTCTATGCTGCTTTTAATTAACTTAACAGGACAAACTAGACGTGGAATGTCGGACACTTCATTACTTAACTGTCACAGCTTTCCAGTTTTTAAAACCTTATAAAATCCATACTCAAATGACCCAATGTACACTATGCACTCATAAGCCAACTGTGATTTTATCAAAAACAAAAACATGAGGAAAGCTCTGACAGTTAAGTGCCTATAGATTGAAGAGCACATAGTGCATAGCAGGCTGTGTGTAACTTACATGGGGTCATTTGGATCTCAACTTGAGTATTTTTGTACCGTATTAGAATTTTGAAATACTATCACAGAGAAATGGACGCGTGAATATAATTCGGTTCAGTTTTATTTATTTTTTTCAATGGACCAGGGCCTGGTTCTCGAGTCTCAGTCCAACACACAGTCCCCAAATGAACTTGCCAACGGGAATTACGCTTAAACAACTAAATAAGAATTACCGTCACGTTTATTCATTTGGCGAAATGAGCCTTCGTGTCTAAACTGCATACTCCCAATGCCGTTTCTCCTCGAGCCCCATCCACCACTATCCTGTTAACCCCACTCACGTACCTACTGAATAGAGACTTAAAAAACGATCTGCCAAAGCAAACATCTTTATTCTACTTGCTCATGATGAACAACAAAACCTGAACCAAAAATCAAAGCAAATTAAATGGTTGTAGCCTACAGATTAGATGGAACAAAACAATGTTCCTATACTTAGTGAGGCAATGTAGTTCAAATACAACTAAAGAGAAAGTTCCCCCCAAAATACAAAAGATTAGGGACATTGACAGCCACAGTCAATATTCGCTTGAAAAGATGGAAAAGTGAATGGTGACTAGGGCGTCAGACACAACATCTTTAGTGAAAGTCGTACAGGTTGCAGTTATAATAGTGAGCAAATGAAGAATTTTAATTTAACTCCCTTTAACATTTACTGCAAACACTCAACCTCGCCCGCTTTTGCGTTAACTTCTTGAATAAAATCAAAACCCCAATTTAATTAGGCTACTACAAAACATTAGCTACATTGTAACCGTAGCGGTACAAATATATCGGCCCCACAACTGCTGTCTGAGTCTGTTTAAACAACTCCTGAAACCAACTAACTCATCACCAATAAGATTTGAAAACCAAGGCAGAAAGAGGAAAAAAACGAACAAAAAAGTATAGTGTTGTGTTGTGCGTGATGTGTCACAATATACAGGGCACGACACACTCGGACACAGACGCTTTTTATCGACACGTTTGTCTGTTCTCGTGTTCATGTTGCTTGTACGTAACCATGTACGTTTGACTAACAAACTTTGATCGGACGTTCAAATTGAATTTAATGTATTATTACGGAGAGATCTGTGAGAGCACGAAAACGCTACCTTAAATAAGGGCCCCTTCACACTCCTCCTCTTCTTCTTCCAGAACAGTTTCTTTCCCGAGTTCCTCAAAGTAGGGAATTCGCTCTGGAAAAGGGATCCTGAAATCTTGATCGCGCAGTTGGACACAAGTTTACATATCCAGGTCCGTAAATCACAGCAAAGGACAGGTCATCGCTATTGAGTCGTTCGGTCGAAACAGCAAAAGGTTTAAATTAAGGTTTAGATTAAAGGTTAGATTAAACTGAGAAGAAAGCAAAGAAAAACAGGAGAAGCGAGTTCCTGCGTCCGAGCGCCATGACGAGCTCTGTTGATACTGTGGGACACTGCAGCGGACGTGTAGTCGGGAGGGAAATTTTTCAAAACGCACAACTGAGTGAATGCAGCAGCAGCCTGCGTTTTTTTTCTGTTTAGGCTTTGTCCTAGATAAACAACCCACATTCTGCACTTTTGATCGCCATAAATAAGCTAAATGTATTTATAAACCTTGCTGATTTAGTCTATACGTAGTGGATACACTGGGCAACGTTTTTCACGGAAGAATAGTTTGTTTAGAATCTCCGCCTGCGTCATATAGTGTCACAAATCACGAGAGTCACTGCAGGGGGATTTTTTTTTTTTTTTTTAATTCTCTAGCAAGTTGCAATCTCTCAGACACGGCAAGAGTCGACCTGCAAAACTGTGCAGTGACAGAGTACAATGCAAAGAATACTATTCAGAAATGAAACCTGCTCAACTCTATTTCATGAACTGCAAGAAATATTAAATTAAATATATTATTTAACTCATTATTTGACTAAATTACTAAATTGTTGCTTATAGGCTACAAATAAAACTGTATAAAAATGCTAAATACATTGCAAATAGAAAAATCTATTTTTAAAATGATAACCTGCTTAATTAAATGTGTGGCAATGGCATGCTACTTTTTAAATCATTTAACCTTGTACAATACATATCAGTTAAGCCTATACTTTTTGTAAAAGGGCAATTTTCATATTATAGTACCATTAAAGATGGATTCGCTCAATTGTGTTCTCTCTCATTTCCCTCTGAAATGTTTAGGTTTAGCATCACCAAATCTTTGCATCTCTCCTCTAGCTTGTGGCTCAAAGGTCAATTTTCCGCTACCTTCCACATGCACACTGGCACACACAAAGGTTAACATGAAGGTGAGGCTGTCAGAAGATTGACCCATGTGTAAACCATACAAGAGACCTTTTAACATGACTGTGGTTCATATCAGATCAAATGCTTCCCTGTTACATGATGATGTCCAAATACCTCATAGTTTATAAAAAAGGTGTTTTCCATTTTATACACATAACCCACGGCAGGTGTCATCCTACAAACAAAAGCCTCTGGTATTCCTTTTAGGAATGAAGGAATATTTTTCACAGGAAAATCATTTAAAAGTGAATAGGAACACTATTGACAATTTTATTTGCATGCAAAATTTCTCTGAAATTTCCACCAATGTGACTGCACATTAATAATGCTCCAGAAAAATCATGTCTCTTCTGTGTTAAAGGGATAATGCACACAAAAAAGAAAGAAATGTCATTATTTACTCTCATGTTGTTCCAAACCTATATGACTTTTTTCCCCCTCCCTGGAACACAGGAAATGTTTTAAATGTTTCCGAACATGCTTCAAAACCATATTGGACCCCCTTCAAAACCATATTGGACCCCTATTGGACTTTCTTCAAATGAACAGTTGAAACATTCTTTGAAATATATTTGTGTTTCAAGAAATGTTTGGAACCAAATTATGGTGGAATTTTCATTCCTGTGTGAACCATTGTTATTTTAGAATCAGATGATATTATTTTATATTTTCTGTTTTAGTTCAAGTTTTAGTAATTTTTTGTCAATTTAGCAGCTTTTCTTTTAAAATCTATTTAGTTTTTGTTTTAAAGTAAACAATACATTTTGCCAAAATAAAACAAGTTTAAAAAAGATTTTTTTCAGTAACTGTCTATTTCATTTCAAGAAATGAAAATATTTTAACCCTGGTGTGAACTATCCCTTTAAGATTGCAATATATTGTCAACCTGTCACTGAAGGCAAAGTTCTCAAGCCCTAAAGTCAACAGGAATTACATCATCTGGGTTCTACCTCATTCGCTCTTATCATGATGATGTAATATATCTTTTAAGAATGGATGGATTGCATTTAGCATAAGTCAAAGGCAATAGACTACGTGTAGCCTAGTTCAAAAGCATGAGAGTCTTCTCTGTGTTTATAGGCTAGCGCATATACTCCCGTAGATGCTAACAATTTATGTACTGACTCACCAGTTTTACAGAGCCTGCAGAAAATGTTAATGCCAACAGAGAACAGGACGTGATGAATGTGCTTCACAATGCTAGACTTGATGTTGAAATGGCTGTTATTAGTGTCTGGCTTGTCCTTTGTCTGCTCGAGGAAAAATTACAACACGTCGTCGTGAGCTATTTGCACTCTTAACTAAATTGGGCCACTATAATGGCAACATTTGGTAAGCAAGTGTGTGTAATTGAGCTGAAACAGTTCATGAAGGGCTCATTTGAGCACATATGCATGCGAGTGCAGTGTGTTTTGTCATGACTGGGCTAATGAGAACAATAAATCAGAAATAAATAAATATGGTAAACATGTATGAAACAGAAAATAAAAAAATGTGAGAGGAAGAGTATAGCGAGAGAGAATAATAAAGAAGTTAGATTTATGGTGGCACGGCTCTTGGATGTCAGAAGTGATCCCGGCGGAGCAGGCAGCAGCCCTCCGGTCATATTTCACTGTTGCCGGGGGTCATTTAGCCCACCCCTGCGGGAGGGCCAGAGGCTGTAAAGCTTGGTGCAAATTTCTTGGATAACCCCGGAGGGAAGGCCTGCTTTGATTTATCACTGACCCAGTCACGGCTCAGTCTGAGGATTGTTTTGAGTGTAGGTGATTCACAATTGCAAGCATATACATGTTGTTATAGCCTTATTCATCTTCATTCTTTATGCAAAAGGGGGGAAAAATGCCATGCTAGAAAGTTATGTTGGCTTTTATTTTTTCCGTCCAGTGAGTTGTGATCAGCAATTTGCAGCCACACGAATCTGCCACGTTTGAGGCGACAGCTGTGTCACGGGCAATAAAAAAGCATGGAGGGGTTGAGCGAGAGAAACAGACAGGAGCAAGAGAGAGAGGAGATGTGACCATTTTTTTCCCCTTCAAAACATGAGAGCCTACTCTGACAGAGAATAATGCATTCAGGGATCCTTTTGCAGCTTGAATGCATCTGTTTTCCAAGGCCGTGACAATCTACCACAACCATCTAAATCTTCAAAACTCTGAATTCATGACCTAATATCAGACACAGAATAACTGTGAGTCTGCTGCATATTCTCTGGTTTTATTTTAGGAAACTCCAACATGATATTCATTGAATGATAAAAGTCCACTCATTGATTCTTGGCTGTTTGTAGTCGTAGCTCTCAACTAAATGTTTTATAACCCAAGTACTTGGTCAACCGCCTTCAACTAGACATAATATTGTGTATAATATTATGACCTTCGGTCAGTCCAGAATTGATCTGTGCATTTGGGATAATTCTTACACCCCACACTTTTAGTGTTTATGAGGGGCGTTCATATACGAGTTGGAGACAGCATCTTTCAATCCCTTCACTTCAGTGCTAAGATCAATGTCAAATACAAAATAATCAGGATATAGTTTTACAAGATAATTAGAAAGACAAAAATTAATATGAAAATCATTAGGGATGCATGATAAATATCAGAACCATATTGTTATTGACCACTACTGACCAGTATATAAGAAATATTTTTGTGAAAATTGTGATACTTTTCTTTTCCAGAATTCTTCAAATTATTTTTTGCCATTTATGTCAAATAATTGTCTTTACTCACTTTTGATTAATTTAATGCATATGCTGAATAAAAGTATTAATTTTTGCAAAAAAAATAAAAAATAAAATACTGACTGCAAACTTAACAATTTTTATTGAATTATTTACATTTATAGTTTAAATTTAGATTAGCTTTTAATTGTCTAAATCAACCTAAACTAAACACACAACTAAAAATCTAATTATGGGAATTATATTATAATGTAACATTTTAAATTGTCCATGTTTTCTATCAGTGTTACAACTTATCCTAGTGTGGTCACTGTAAAAAACTCACTGTTTCTGCCTTGAATTTTTTAAGCACCATCAACTTAGTTGTTTAAGTCATGACAACTTCAAACTTAAAGGAGTAGTTCACTTTAAAAAAAAAAAAACTTTTGCTGATAATTTACTCACCCCCATGTCATGAAAGATGATGAATATGAGTCTTATCAAGCGAAACGATTGCTCATTTAAAAAAAAAAAAACAGTTTTATAAGCTGAAATTGTCGCCTTGCTCTGATCTGCGTTCGTGACTCTCTTGTTTGAACTCGTTTATCAAAATGAACGAATCTTTTCCAGAGTCAATTAGTTCATTTTGTTAGTTGAATGAACCAAATGGCACGAAAAAAGATTTGTTCATTTTGATAAACAAGTTCGAACAGGAGAGTCACGAACGCAGATCACAAAATGAAGCAAGACGACCATTTAAGCTTATAAAACTTAAACATTTTTTTTTTTTTAATGAGCGATCGTTTCCTTTGATAAGACCGATATTCATTGCTTAACTTCAATCGTTTAAAGCCCATTGAACATTGCACTGAAACTGTCTTTTGGACCTTGAACTGTTTGGTTACCAGTAAAGTGCATTATATGGAGAAAAATCCTGGAATGTTTTCATCAAAATCCTTAATTTCTTTTCGACTGAAGAAAGAATGACATGAACATCTTGGATGACATGGGGGTGAGTAAATTATAGCAGAAGTTTTTTTTAAAAGTGAACTACTCCTTTGAGACTTAAAACTGAGTTAAATCTGGTTTAACTTGAAAATTGCTTAAAATCTACCCAATATTTTCATCCCTTAAAACAACTTTGATCACCGAAATGACAAAGTTTTTCCTTGATTTTTTCTTTGTCATGGCTTAAAATAGCTTGAATTTTATTCTACACCCTTGCTTCATTTAGTATACGTGGTTCGATTAATATGCAAATTAGCCCCACCTCCACTCACACGCACCAGCTCAGATCTACTCGTTGACCTCCCCATATAAACCCATTTCTTTGCACCAAATGTTCTCAGCAGTTCATCATCCTGCTTTGTCTTTCCCCCTCTAACCTCCTTAATTACATCTACAGTATATCAATGATTTCCAGCCTGTGCTATTGATAATCTCAGCGTTCCTGTCTCAGCAGAACTTCAGCATGATATTGAATGTCTGTTTCCACACCAGAGACTGTTAATAGGGCAGAGGTTAATGAAAGAGCAGTATTAATCTGCCTTCACGCAGGGGAGGTTTTTAACTTAACCTAACCTACTTTAAGAAGCCCACCGAGAGACTGTACAACAAACT